CCTTTCTCAAACATATGTTATCTTGGAGGAATCTTTCCAAGGGATAGGCTTTCTGAGAAACATTTATGACTTTTGAATACACGATAGGCATGAACTTGACACGACCTACTTTGGCCAAGCCCTGGGCTTCAGCCTGGTCTTTTACCACCACAAATCAAACAGTCTATTTGAAGTCCAGTCAGCCTGATATCTTCACTGAGATGACAAGGCTACAGCACATACCGGCTTGAGAAAAATAGGATGTAGAGCACTTTGTTCTCAGGATTTAAAAATTCAGAAAAATTTTTACTAAAGCCAGAGAAAAACGGCTACGTTCTACCCATACACAAAAGCTAATACAATGCCTGGGATGGTTAAGATATTCATTACATCATTGAAATGAAAGCACTGACATCCTTATATTATACTCAAATCCCTTCACTATCCTGGCATTGGAAAATGCAAGGAAAAGCAGAGGATATAAAGGCTTTCTACTAAGTATCCTAGACACAAGAGCTGTTTTTTCCTCCTGACTTTCCACAGCTGCAGGGTTTTGTGTCGCCCCATCTCAGTCTTCACACCATCCTCTCAGCTTGATCTCATATCAATATAATGCCAAATTGTCAAATTACACTGACTTTTGAGTTTGTTCTTATTTAATTAAATACTCTGGTGTTGGAGAAATTGGATACAAGGTGGCACATGTTCCCAAGGACTGAGACACCTGTCAAGGGATACCTGTCTCTAAAGGCCCTCTCCTCAGCATGGCACTGAACAGCACTAATTATGTTACGGATAAAGCTGTAGTCACTGAATTAACTGAAAAATAACCAAAGCATCCACAGTATGTGCAGTCCACAGGGGCATTCACTGCTGGGAAGAGAGGAAGCCCAAACATTCAGGCCTAAACATTGAGGAAGGAGATACTCTCTGTGAGCTCACACAGGACCACTTTCCTTTCTTCCTGGGACTTTCCCTATATAAGGAACCATTGACCTGGCCACTCACCTGCAGCAAAGCCACTAATGGGTTTCCAGAAAGGGGGCTTCAGGTGCAGGCATGGTGTGGTGACACGTATGGCCTGTGTCATACTCTAGGTCACTCTAGATGATCAGAATGACCACCTGCTCTGCAAAAGGCCTCTTTGATTGCAATTCTCCTGCTAGTCATAATTAAGGAAATTCTATTACACAGTTCAGATACAATTACAGTTGTAGTACAAACCAATTCAAAATTAATCTAAATATAATGGTAAAATTTATCCTACATGATTGAATAATTACTGCAATACAACTCCAGTAGGGCAAAGATCAGGAACATTTCATATGAATAACATTCAGAAACCGGCATTTTAAAATTGTATTGCTCATTCATACAACACATGACAGAAACAGATCCACTACAAAGAGCGAATATAGAGGAACTGAGCTGAGAATCATTAAAACCATATTTTTAAAATGAAGAAGCACCACATTATTATATATAATCATTTTCCTTTCACACTGATTTGTTTTAATCTATTCGTGCTCCTTATAAAACATTACACAAAATTTTAATCATAGCATTGTTTTCTTTAAATATGTGCATTTCAGTAAATGACACTTGCATGTATAAATTTAGTGAGTTAAAATGTTAGACTGATGCTAGAACTGAGCAGTCATTTATTCAGGAAAAAATTGCCTTGTTTTCCTGCCTGTAAATTTTCTATGGAAAGCTATTATTTTTTTCAGTGTATTCATTATTCAACATATTAGTTGAATAGTCCTACAGAGACTTCTCTTCTTTTGAATCATTCACAGCCTGTTAGTTCCAATTATTTCACATTTGAAATTTGAACCCCAGTCCTTCGTTTTTATTGGACATAGAGTTTACATGAACTGATGCTGTTCTACAGTTGAACAAATGTGACCAGAATGCAGATGGAATAAGTTCTGCACACAGTGTCAGCAGTTCATGTCTGTGTTTCAATAGGAGTAAATTCCTTAGCTACAATACGAGATCAATGTGAGCACAATCTGAAAGTCATCTTAGGATAATTCTGAAGCAGCACACCCATCTTATAAAGAAAGACCATTATTCCACAACTTTTGATATCCACATAGCACACACTACCTTCTTTTGCCAAGCCTACGCCGTTATGTTCCCTTCTAGAAAGACAACTTAAAAAAAAAAAAAAAAATCTCTGAAGGAGCACTTTTCCTAAGGTGTGCTATGCTTCAGAGTTGTCCACCCAGCTGTGACAGGGATGCTGTTATGGACCTGGAAAGCATAGCTCCCAGAAGAGCCGTGACTGAGTTGCCGCCTGCCCCTCTCCATCTTAATGACAGCCTGAACACTGCAATGTTACCAGGACTTTTGGGCAGTGCCCTGTAATTCTCCACTCCCATGAGGCTTAGGAAAGCAAGGCTGACAGCAGCCTTCAGTCTTCTGAGGCTAGGTAATATGAAAATCAAAGTATTTATACAGTGGAGGGAGCGAGAGGAAGGGATAACAGGCAGTAGTAAATAAGAAAAAACCCGAAGAGTTGAAAGCAATTTTATAGGGAGTGAGAAGTGCCCTAGAGTGGTCATTAGCCACACTGCAAGGAATGAGATACATCAAAAAAGGGGAACATTTGCTGCAGATATTATGAGGTGGGAAGGATTGGAGGAGGCTGTTATTCTTGAAAGTATTTAATGAATTGGCAGATGGCCCTGTGGTCAGGACACAGGAAATGCAAGTCCCACTTCTGCTGCAGACCTCCTGTGTGGGATCAGAGAAGTCACGCTGGTGTCTGAGATCACCAGCGGGAGCCGGGCAGAGCTGGCGCAGTGGGCACTGGGGTGGCCAGCGTCAAAGAAGCTATCAAAATTGATGGGGGATGTCTGTTCCAGTATGGGAATTCCTCCATGCTTCCTCTTGCATAAAGCCATCCAAAATGGGCAAGAACATCTGCTTTTGTTTTCACAGTAAAAGCTGACACTGGATGAGATACGCATATTTGGGAGGGGAGCACATTCCACAGTGGAGCTCTTTGTGTTACAAACAATGCGAGACCATCCTGGGAACATCATTATTCGGTGAAAACTTACTGTATTCAAGAGGACAAGGCTGCCTGTGAAGGTGGCAGAAGAAGGTGTACTGACAGAAGAGAGGGCCCCTCTTGGCAGCTGGGTGGCAAGGCAAACCACCCAAGTGCACGGCAGAGGGGTGGCTTCTAGTCAACGTTCTGTGGCCTAACACCACAGTCACTGCTTCCCTCCTTCATTTCTGTGGACATTTCGGGGACTTAGTTGCTCCATTTGTCCTTCAGCAAAACAATGGATTAATACAAAGGTGCAACAAGCTCCCAAAGCAGGCTAGTCTTCAGACTCTCTCTCTGTCTTTGTGGATCCAAAGACAAATATTTTTAAACAAAATTACACCAAAATGTGAACGTAGGGCTAGTGAAAGTACCTTGATGGGAAACTAGGAAAACCTTTCATCACAGTTAGCACTTGGAAAGAAATTGTCAATGGAGGTGCTTGAATGTAAATACAACCTTTTAGTAAATGGCAGAGCTGTTCAGCAGAAAGATGAAAGGTTTCAGGTTTTCTGTCCTGGACTGTTCTACCCCAAACCACCCCTCTAATCATTTATGCAAAAGACATTTAGCAGTCAGTGGCAGAGCAAGACTTGGACTCATTGGCTACAACTTCATCCATGTCCTAGACAGATGCTTGTGTTCTAAAGCTGCCTGAGTTGACAGAGTTCCCAATATCTCTGTAATACAGATACTGGACTAATTTTTAGAACATAGCTAAATATATATATTTTTTAATGATTTCTTAAAACTTAACTCTGGTAAAAAGAGAGTTTCTATTCCCCTCTTCAAAAATCCTCCCAACAGTTCAAATCTGTAGCTAACACAAGGAACCACTATTTCAAAAGAAATGTATCACATGGGATCAGAGTAGTTGCAGAGATAAATTGATGCCTAAAGGATGCCTAAAGAAACTGTTTCTCCTTGTAATTAAAGTTCTTACTTCAAGATCAGAAATGGGACAGCTCTTGAAGGGGGCAGAGAGGAAAGGAATGCAAATTAAAATCTATTAAAAAATATATTAATGCTCATATGAATGGCAGAGGGAATCATTATAACTTAGTCATGCAGATTCTTTCTACCATGAACATTTGTCATCAGGACAGCAAGTATGGCTGGCATTTACTATCAGAAAGAACCAAAATACTCCTTACAGAGTTTCCCCTGTTGAAGCTGACAATTAACAGTTAACCAGTGAATAAGATTTTGCACGACCAATTCTATTCAGCTCAGCTCAGTTTGTTGAGCAAATTATAAAAGACAAATCAGATAAAGTATATATAAGTAAGCCCTGGTTACATGGTTAAAGGAAAAGCTCAGTCTACGACATTAGTAACTTGTTTCTATACCCACTGCATAGCTACATTTACACAACACATTTTCCGTAGCATTACCTCTTTCCATTTGAAAGCAGAACTCTCATGCTGGCATACTGAGAACGGTCTGTTTCACTGCGGTGGTAATAGTGTCTAGAATTCCAAATAGGAAGTGGGGAAGTTCATACTTCTATGAAAAAAACTTTTAAAATATAATCATGACGTTTTAATTGACTGTTTGACATACCTAGAAAGAAGGGCTGAGTAGTCAGGTCAAAATAAGCCTGCTGAGACCCTGAGCCTAGTAGTTTGAAAAAGCTTTAGCTTCCAATTTGCCATAATAATATAAATAAACTTTATTTAAGAAGCACAGGCTTCAAAATCATTGTCTGAACCACAACATGGGACTATGGGAGCCACTGGACTGTCAATGTTTATATTGCAACGGTATTCCCAAGTCCAGTCATGGCCTCTGCTATGATAAGTATATAAACACATGAGAAAAAGACAATCTTTGCCCCAAAGAGCTTACTACCGCAACTGCAGGCAAGCTTTGTGAGGGGGTAAGGGAGGGTGTGAAGAAGAGAGGGAGACCTCAGAAGTGTCTCTGGCTGGTGGTGAATGTCTGCCCTCCACCTTTCAGGATGGCCTGGGACTCCCTGTGCAGCAGGGACTTACTGCGCCCCAAGATAAGAAGTGCCTCAAGCCGGATGCCTGGCAGACAGAGCAGTGCCGAAACACCATCCCTGGAGGAGCTGCAGCGCCTTCTCTGGACACGCACACACCCCACGGGGCACGTGGACGAAGTCTGGCCAAACCTTTACGTGGGAGACCTGTAAGAGAGAGGGAAGGGTTGAAGGTGTTAATGCAACTCTTATCCCCCTCCCTATACTCCCTGAAATCATCTACTCTTTATTTTAAAAGACAGCTAGGCACTAATTTGGTGCCTCACAGTAAGTCTAAGCATTGATCAAGGCTGAACTGTGCTTAGGATCCTGCAGCATAGAGAAAAGGCATCCTAAGTATCCCAAAAGAATAGTTCCTGAAATGATGGATGATCAGCAGAGGTGACTTGGTGAGGAAGCAAACCAGAACACTCTTGGCTTGTGCAGAAATGTCATCACCACCACCTTTTTATTTTTTGTCAGTTGAGAAGAAGAACCTAAACTGATGTTTGGGGGAAAAAAATGCAGGAAACTTAAAAGTGAGTTTCTTAACAAGCCAATTCTGTCTTGAAGCATTTTGGTGGACACTTTGCACGTGATCAACCTGTCAGAAAATAGCCACTACAACTTCATGCAGTTTTAACAAACTGCACCATCAGCAGCATGTTCTACCCCACATTGCCATGCAGCAGGCAAATATAATCCTCCGTCCTTCTTGCAGGTATGTTGCTCGTGACAAAGCGCAGCTGAGCCGAATGGGCATCTCCCATGTTGTGAATGCTGCTGCCGGGCGATTTCACATCGACACTGGACCCAAGTTCTACAAAGACCTGCTTGTGGATTACTACGGAGTAGAAGCAGAGGACAACCCAAACTTTGATCTCAGCATTTACTTCTACCCAGTTGCTCGATACATAAGAGCAGCACTGAATTCCCCAAGAGGTAACTAGACCATCTGTGCATGTTGCATACCTTCTGCATAGGAGCCAAGTAGGGCAAGTTATCAAATAGTATTTGGCATAAACCAGCCACCTGCAGATGTGTGTAAGAATGGAGATACCCAAACCAAGTAGCATCGCACGTGCCTCCTGAACTCCCACAGTGAGTAGGAGTTCCCCTGAAACAGGGAAGGATGCACTGAACAGGCTTTCAAAGGGGTTTTCCCTATGCCTAGTGCTATTCATTAGCAAAAGACAAAATAGCAAGTATCCCTTATTACCTATAGAATCATAGAATCACTGACCTGGGAGGAGGCACATACACTTGGTCTTTTCAAATTAGCAATGGGGTTTAAAATAAAAGCTAGGATGGGGTAAAAAGACAAGGGCAAGCATCATATTTGAGTAAGAAGAATCAACTATAACACTACAATCTGTGCAAGTCCTACAAACACAGGATAGGGAAGAACTTGCTGGGAAGCAATTCTGTAGAAGAGAACCGAAGCAACACCACCAGCTGGGAGATAATGCCATGCTGTTGCTAGAAGGAATATAACCTTGAAATAGGAAGATAACCCACAAAATCCTTGGAATCACTAAATATAGGCCAGGTACAATGCCAGAGGCCTGGGGCTAGTGGGGAATCATTACTATTAAGGACAAACCTTCACAAAAGCAAGTCTCCACTGTGCCAGAAAACTGTACAGATACCCGAAGTAAGTGATTTATTAAGCAAACAGTTATACACTAAGCAAAACTGTTTTGCTTGCATCATTGTGAGCTTTAACATCAATGAGGGTCCTAAAATACTAACTACCCAGCTTTATCATATGCAGCTAGTAGATCTGATCTATGCCGTACAATCTAGGAAAGGGAGACAGAGTAACTGAAAACAGTGCACCTCCATGCTAGATACCTCAGTGTTTACTGCTGTTTGGAGGCCTTGATCCATCCTGTTAGAAAGTATTTGCCTTTGTGAAACTGAGGGCTCCATTTGGATTTCAAAACCACTAACATATTTGGGGAATTTGGAACCGCACCCACTTCTATTACAGCGTATGCTATTTGCAATTGAAGTCATTATTGGTGGTGCTCCAGAGAAAGGTAAGATCCAGAATCTTTTCATGCGTATTTAAACAAAAAGAGGTTCCAAATCAATTGACAAAGGACAGAAAACAACAGATTAATTGTGGTGGCCACAAAAGCAAACAAAACCAGTGCTTTGCACGATGCATGCCCAAATACTGAAAGTTATGAATGCAGAACAAGTTAAGGCTCAAGGCAAACACACAATGAATTCATCATGTCTAGAGTGCATATTTATCCCTACTCCCATGCTTTTAGATATTGCTTTACTGAACTCCATATGGAAGCAGGGTTCTGGGAATGGAGACAAGGTGAAATTCAATCATACACAGTCCAGCTGTTGCTGACATTCATAATTTTAAGGAAAGTGCAACAGTTTAGAAAATATATAAACAAGATGTTCTGGAAGCATAATTTCCTGAGGTACAGAAATTTAGCAGCTAAATACCCATAACCTATGCAGGGATAAGGCAGGGAGGGGATTGTTACTCACATCATTTAGAAGAAGAAAAAACCCAACATTTATTATAAGCAGTGATGTTGAACAAAAAATTATACCAAGTGACAAGAGGCCTGTTCATATTAAACTCAGGATGTAACGAGGTACTTCTGTTTGATTGAGAAGTCATTTAAGACTGCTGCTTAACTATTACAAGCAAATTCAACATCTTTTTTTTTTAATGGAATTAAATTATCTTTTTCACCTGGGAGGATAAGTCAAAGTTAAGACTATATGAGGCACAAACATATTTAAAACTACGAATCAAATACTCATTAGAATTAAGTAAGAACTGATACTCTCATCATGCTTGAAGAAAAATTCTGATGCTTTACACCAGAAGTTCGGAAAAGAACACGGTCAGATTTATTCCAGATTTCTACCTTTAGCTTTTACCTTCTAACAGGATATGTCTTTGGTGATGTGAGGAATTTATTTTTAAGGCAATTTCTTCAAACCCAGATGCCAGAGCATAAACAAAAGGAGGCAGGGGAGCGTGCACTCACACACTCCTAATTGGGAGCTATTCCTGTCACAGTGGTCAATGGCTGCATCACACCCTGAATGACTGACTTCATCATCTTTCTCATACAGATTAAGAAATACAGGCGCTACTATTGCAGCCATGCTATATAAGCATTATTTTATGAACTCTGCTTCCTTGGCTGCCTTTCCTTCAGCACAGCCCTGCTGTTCCTTTGCCCACGTAACAGAACTGTTTAGGAAGGCTTAGCCAAGAGCAAGCAGATGCACAATCTGCCCCCTTCTCTGCAAGGAAAAACACAGTGTCAGGGAAGTACTGGCCTTCTCCCTCATGCTTATGCTCAAGGGGCAACACCGTGAATATCAGTCTTGCCCCTTTGCATGGCCATCTGTACAATTTGCATTTTTCTGGAGTGCAGCTAAACCTAAGCATAAATCAACAGGGTTTGGTAAGGTCTAGCAGAAGACTGAGGGAAAGA